ATGTGGAACAGAAACACCCTCCAATGCAACCAAACAAAGGAGAAATTGGTTAGGAATGAATAACGAACCGTGACCCAAATGACCCTTCATGAGAAGACCCTTTCATAGGCAGTATTCATCCTTGGCCTATAGGAGCCCCCAGTGGTGCAGTGGGTTAAACTCTTGTGTCAGCAGGACTGAATACCGACAGGTCGGAGGTTCAAATCCAGGGTGAGCATGGATGAGCTCCCTTTGTCAGCGCCAGCTCCCCATGCGAGGACATGAGAGAAGCCGCCCATAAGGATGGTAAAACATCAAAATATCTGAGCATCCCTGTGCAACATCCTTGCAGACAGCCAATTATCTCACAACAGAAGTGACTTGCAGTTTCTCAAGTCATTCCTGACACACACACACACACACACACAAATGTCCTTGGCCTTAGCAGTGTGGATTACGTTCTGTTGTCCCTGATGACTTTGACTCATCAGGGATCTTTCTGTATGATCAATCTGTTGTGCAAATTTTGAATTCATGTCATTTTCCTACTGTGTGACATGTAGTCACCATATCTGCAATTATCGGTCTCACGACAAGAATGCCACTGGAACTTCAAAATAACACAATTTTGCAAGCATGTTAGGGAAGTTTGACATTTCCCCTATATCAGATTATGTGTTCCTATGAATCCCTTGTTTGTGTGGTGGGTACATAACAATGACACTTACCCATTGCAAAGTCCACTATAAGTAGCAGTGAATGAACTCTGTATGAAAATTTGAGAGTCCATGCAAACACACACCATGCCATCCCACTCCTTTCCATACATTAACAGCTTACAGTGTAAACAGAACACAAAACAATGAACATTTTACAAATAGTGGGGGGTTGTAGGTTTTTCGGGCTAGAACATGACCATAGAGCCCAAAAATCCTACAACAACCCGATGATTCTGGCCATGAAAGCCTTCGACAATACATTTTACGAACACACAACCCCACCACCAAGGCCTGAACAAGCATTGTGCTGTCGCACGCTGGGCCTGTGCATAAGACTGTAGACAGGACATAAATTCTGTGTGCCCAACGGATTAAAGGCCCTTGGATTTCCTTAAAACAGAGTTTTTAGATTGCTTAAAGGTTCAACAACGTTCTTTATTAATGAAAACAAACAGGTACTTTAAAGCTTTCTTAACAGTCTATTGGCTCTCTCTCAATCTTGTCCACAGGGAACAGGCACTATCTTCATAAACTGTATTTTAGCTAATAGGGAAATCCTTAACTTCTAATCTGGGCAGTCTGTCTTTGCCTCTGTTGGCGTGGAGCCCCTGCACCCGGTACCAACTGCTTCTGGCTTCTGCGAGTGACCCTTACCAAGCAGAGCTTTGTAGACTTCCAGGGAAAAAGGAGTTCAGGTTTCTGTGATGGCTGACTGAAGTCCCTCAGCAAAGGAGCTGTGGGGCTGTATCTCCCCGGCCAAGCCGTAGAAGATGAAGCTTTCTACAGGAGCTCTTGGTATTATGTCCTGCATGAAAGGCTTCTCTGTGTGGACTGAACCCAAAATGGCTCCTATTCCCTCTAAAACCCAAAAAGGGGGCGGGACCAGGGAACCTAACTATAACTGACAGGTGACTTGCCCTATGATTGCAGCCAAAAGAAGCCACCTATCTGCAGAGTCCCTAAAACTTAGGACTACAACAAACATTCAATGCAAAGCAAACAAAATTGGAGCTCCTGGTACAGCTGTACCTGCACAAGTATCATTTCCTTTGCCATAAATTCATGAGTTAACCATTAACCAAATGTCATATCCAACAAGGTTGTATTGTTTTCCCTTTTCACTCTCTACAACATATTTAATAAAAACCGACCAATATGAATCAAAATCTGATCTATTATTTCCCCCCTCTGAACACCCTCATTTCCATTGATAGTTTATCATTTAAAGCGATGTTCCATACCTTCCCATACCATGCTTTCAGCATGACATTGGTTACTATATTCCAATTCCTTGCAATTATAAGTCTCGCAACTGTGAGTAAAATACGGTAATCACCAATTCTTTCTTTTGCATTTCTAAATTCAACTTTGTGGTGTCCCTTAGTAATGCTAACCTAGCATCCGGATGATGTTTAGTCCTATAATATTACCTATTTCCTTAAATATATTGTTCCAAAATCTCTTTAATAGGGAACATTCCTACCATAAATGAAAATATGTCCCTTTGTGCATGCCACATCTCCAGTAGAGGTTACTTTGCTTCCTATCCAGCTGGTGTAATTTAACCGGTGTGGTACTCATAGTTCCCACCTTGACTGTTAACTAGAGTTTAGAAAAGTTACATTTGGAGTACAACTCTCAGAATCTTCCAGGCAGCATGGCCATTGGAATTTGAATCCAGAAAGTAATATTACCAAGCCCCGTGATTAACTTCTCACAGAAAAGTGTTGACTGAGTAGAGTACTTTTTACTAAATTAGATAGTTGTAACCATCCTGAAGGCAGTGGTTGTCTTAGCTTCTTCTGAAGAATTACTCTTCACTGGGCAAAAGAAATTGGAAAGAACTATAGCCACCTTGCTAATAGCTCCATTTGGAGGACGATCTTCAAGAAAGTGGTGGCAGCTCAGCTGCAAGTATTTGAGATGAAATGAAATATTCAAGTGTGATTGGACTTACCGGATTATCAGTGTGAAACAGAATTCTTTCCTATTGTTGATGCTCTTTGATTTTTTGTCACCAGCTTTTGATTCCATTGATTGTGAAATCTTGCTGGACCTGTTTTGTTGGCTCCATATTAGGACAGTGATATGTTTGACCTACTTCTATCTGCAAGAATAGTGTCAGAAGATACAACATTGGATGACTTCTGTATCACTCTAAAGAATTTAGGAAAAGAATCCATATTACACCACCTATGCTTTCTAATATCTGTAGAAAACCATTGGGTTATTTATTGTGTCAGAAGCATGTTGAGGGTACAGTTAAAACACAAACGTTTTAAAACTTGGGATTATGCTAAATGTCCTTTGACCAGTAGCTAGCCACTTGGAGTGCCTCTGGTGTTGCTGTGAGAAGGTCCTTCATTGTGCATGTGGCAGGGCTCAGGTTACAGTGTTGTAGGTGTTCTGTGGTTTGCCCTTCTCCACACTCACATGTTGCGGACTCCACTTTGTAGCCCCATTGTTTAATATTGGCTCTTCATCTCGTGGTGCCTGAGAGCAGTCTGTTCAGTGCCTTCCAAGTCATCCACTCATCTGTGTGTCAAGGAGAAAGTTTCTCATCTGGTCTCAGCCACTGATTGAAGTGCAGGGTTTTAGTCTGCTACTTTTGGACTCTTGCTTGCTGAGGTGTTCCTGCAAGTATCTCTGTAGATCTTAGGAAGGCGTTCCTTGATTTAAGGTGTTGATATGCTGGCTGATAACCAAACAGAGGATGGGTCGAAGATGTCAATGCCTTGGTTCTTTCATTGCTGGCTGCTGCTTCTCAGCGGATGTCAGGTGGTGCGCTACCAACTAAACAGTGTAATTTCTCCAGTGGGGTGGGCATAGACATCCTGTGATAATGTGATATGTCTCATTAAGAGCCACATCCACTGTTTTAACGTAGTGAGATGTTTTCCACACTTGGCATGTGTATTCAGCAGCAGCATAGCAAAGCACAAGGGGAGATGTTTTCACTAATGAGGTGAGAACATTAGGTTAGTGAGACATCACAAATATGTAATTACTCTATAGTCAGTCAGGTGAGGCCATGTAGGTCTGGACAAGGTAATAGGACTCAATGGGAGCCAGTTAAGCAAAGCGTGAATCCCAGGAAGATAGAAATACTATGGTTAGGTCACTCATAAGTCTGGGAACAAGTTGTGCAGATTATATTTTTTTCTGAAGAAACCATGTTGTCTGTTTGATTTGTTCTAAGCTGATTTAGGTCTCTGCATTTGCATTAACGTTTCACATAAAACTCAGGCAGGGCACCTAATCTGCTGCTTTATCTTTTTCCTTGCATCTTCAGCATAATACATCAAAATGAAGTAGAGAGCTTCAGTTGTAGAGCAATGTCCATCTACACTAGACGTACTTTTAGCACAGATGTCTTTTTAAGTCAAAATCTTTTATCTTCTTGAAATTAAAAAAATAGTTTGTTTTTGTTCTCTGTTAATTGATGTTTGCATTCTATTGTATATTATTGTGTTCTATGTGTATTTGTAGTATGTGCATCTCTGTACGATGCATCATGTACTATGTTGTCATATTTATTGTAAATTGTATGTTGTCATATTTATTGTAAATCCAGATGTTAGCAAAGATGGAGCATGATTTAAATAAAGGAATGACATTATCTAAGGTCAGGAACAAAAACTTTCTTAGCATTGAAAGCAGTTGTTCTCAATCTTTGGTTTTCCAAATATTTTGGGTCAACTTCCACTATATATATGTGTGTGTGTGTGTGTGTGTGTGTGTATGTATATGTATATGTATATATTATTGGACATTCTGATTGAGACTTCCTGAAACTAAAGTCCAGAAATCTGGAGAACCAAAATTTAAGAACCATTGTTATAAATGAAAGCAGGATAAACTATTGTTCACTAAATGAGAACAGCAGACTAAGAACATGCTTCAGTGATGTGTAAATAACGAAGAGGTAATCCTCTAGCATGTATTCGGGGTGGTGCTTGTCCTTTTTATCTATAGAGTTTGGAATAAAAGAGGAGCAAGGGTAATGTTCTGAAGACAGTTTAAATCAACTAGCAGCAATTTCAGAATGCTGTAACAGACTGGATCAGAGTTTCTAAAAGTTACTTTTTTGGACAACTGATCTCATAATACAACTGGATTCCAACTTAGGCAGAGATGTGCAGAATTCATAACTTTTAAGACCTACTGAGTGCATGTGTTGTTGTTTTTTTTTTATTATAGAATGAAACCATATTCTGAGCTCAGGAATTTGTTAGCAGTATAAGAAAGTAGCTCACTGTGTCACTAACTATATCATATGTGCTTTACTGATTTTCCTGTCAGCTGGACTGCAGCCAAACCAAGTGCTGACACGATGACAGCAAAAACCATTCCCGATGTGAGCATCAAGTCTAAAACCAGTGTTTGCAAAACAACTGAAAGGTAAATGTATTATTATTATTATTATTATTATTATTATTATTATTATTATTAACACAACGAGATTAGTACACAGCAAACAAAGTCACTCTGCTGGTTGTTGTATTGGATCATGCATCGGACACTTCCCAAGTGTCTAGTACTATGTGAAGTATCAGTGAATAATGCATGCAGATCCCAGTAGTGTGGCCTTTTGCACCTGACAGGTGGTAATTTTGTTGGCGCCAATTTTGTTTAAGTGCAGGCTAAGGTCTTTAGGCACTGCACCCAGTGTGCCGATCACCACTGGGACCATCTTGACTGGCTTGTACCAGAGTCTTTGCAGTTCGATCTTTAAAACCTTGTATCGTGTCAGCTTTTCCAGTTCAATCCTGCTGTCACCTGGGATTGCAACATCGATGATCCATACTTGGTTTTTTAACATGATCGTGAGGTCAGGAGTATTGTATTATTATTATTGTGGTACTTTCTGAAAATCCTCGGAGGTAGAGTCGGGGAGAACAAAGCCTTGTTCGTTTTTAATTGTACTTCTGAAATGAACCTAAATTTCCCATAACTTCCTGATTAACTGAATTCTGAATGGATTCAGTGTCTAGATTGGCCAGAGGTGTGTTTACGTACAACTTGTCTTTCTGAGATCCAAATGACATTTCTTTTTTCCTGGTGGATTCCTCAGTAGTTTCTGATGGTTATTGTAGCCATTTTACTCCTTAGCTGAATGAGGCGCTTTTTCCTGGTAGATTTTGTATGCCAGATCCATGTGTACTCCTACTGTGGTTCATTTCTTCTTTTTTTCTGGAGGGTGCAGTGGTATGGACTATATGTTTTAAGATTTCATACTTAATGTAAAATCTGGCTGTTGTCCACTTTTTTGAGAATATGTTGGAGAGCATACTGGGATTGAGAAGAACTGGGGAGATGTGTAGTTTGGGGGGAATGGGCAAGCGCTGCTGCTTTATAGCAATTTCTTTAAAACAGTGGTTCCCAACTTTTTTTTGACCAGGGGCCACTTGACCAGGGACCACTTTCACCAGGGCCCACTTTCACCAGGGTCCATGTTTACCAGGGACCACTTTCACCAGATACCACTTTTACCAGGGTCCACTTTCACAAGGAACCATTTTGTCCAGGGACCACTTTCACCAGGGTCCACTTTCACCAGGGTCCACTTTCACAAGGAACCATTTTGTCCAGGGACCACTTTCACCAGGGACCACTTGACAAGGAACCACTTTGACCAGGGACCACTTTCACCAGAGACCACTTTCACCAGGGACCACTCTCCAACATTAGGACCCAAAGGGTTATGAATCTGTTTTTGGTTAACTTTAGATTTGGTTGGGGTGCTGGTTCAGAAAATTGCATTAGATAAACCACATTAGCTCTAGTTTCTGACACAGAACATATGCCATAGTCGGCAACAGGGAAGGAGTAGCAAATGTCATGAAAGGAGCAGAAATTAATTAATTAATTAAATGAATGAATAAAGTGGAAGGAGGCTCGTGGACCAGATTTTCATCCTCACAGCCCACTGATGGTCCACAGCCCATAGGTTAAGAACCACTGCTCTAAAAAGAACTGAAATAGCTGGGGCAATTGTAAACTTTTTCTGACTTTTAAATATGTTATCATTTCTTCTCATTGCATAGGGCTCAGTTTGACAGTCTAAATAATAAAGCCACAAAGACAACATTTCAGTGTGGGCCTTCAAAGGGGAAGTGCTTGGAGACTGTTGCCATCAAGCTAGCCCCTAAAACAGAGCCATCTGCTGCGGTGAAGAGCACATTAAAAGCACTGGAGAACTTGATGTGGGAAGCAAGACTGGACTGTTTTCAGCAGAACATGCTCAGTTCCAAGATGATCATCGGTGACCCATCTGTAGACCTCAGCATCCGGGAAAGTGGCAAGATCATTCCAAAGCAGATGGGGGGCACTCAGAACCTCCGGGCGGTTGGAAAAGTCAGTTTGAAAGATAAGCCTTTGAGCATCAGGGAGAAGATTTCAGAGTGGGAAGGAAAGAAAGAAACTCTATCTCCTGGAACTACATGGAAGGAGGAAGACCAAGGAGTTAAAGAGGACCTCAGCTCATTTTTGGGTGTTGTAGAGAAGATGGCCAGGGAAACTGCAGCAACAAGGGACGTGGAAACCAAAAGGCTTATAAGCTGGCAGCTGGAATGTAAGAGGGCAAGCAAAGAGAATGAGAGAAGAATACAGAGTGTAAAGAATGCTGGGCAACAAAAAGAGAGAAAGATAGATGGAAGGTTCAGAGATGGGGAGCTTAATTCGAATATTGGGAGGAGTGCTGAGATGAAGAAAGATACCCAGAAAGACAATATATCCGTCCTGAGTCAAGTGAAAAAACTGGAGCAGGCCTTGAAGGGAGGTTCAGCCGAACTACAACCACAATTGCCCGGTACTTATTACTCTCCCAATTTTCTGCAAGAGAAGCCAGATGAAGTTCAAAGCCCCTCTGAAGGCCAGGAAAGAGCCAGCCGCCCAGAACTCGGTAAGCGGCTTCTTGGCTTGGACTGTGAAGCTCCTGAACCAATATTTGGGACTCTGGAAGAGGTGAAAGCATCCCGTTCGAAGTGCAAGGCTAACAATGAGGAAAACGTGTACACCGAGCCTGGGTTGCCTGAGAAGAAACCTTTTATCAATCCACTCCCCAAGCCGCGGAGGACTTTTAAACATGAGGGCGAAGAGGGATGGGTTCCACCAGCAAGAAATAAGAGGAACTTGCCCCCTCTCCCCTCCATCCCACCCCCTCCTCTTCCTTCTTCTCCTCCCCCTTCAGCTGTCAGCAGAAGACTGAGAAATGGAAAGCATAAGGCCAATGCAGATCACAGGTATTTGTATACTTCTGTGTTTTTCCCCCATATTCTGTATAGGGTTTCCTAGTACTCTCATTTTGTGGTGGTTGAGTTGTACCCTTGTGGTATGTATGCCTTTTATAATGTTTTATAATTTGTTAATAGTAACTTGCTGCCACCCCCCTTCCCGGTGGCCCAGCGGGTTAACCTGCTGAGCTGCTGAACTTGCTGACTGAAAGGTTGGTGGTTCGAATCCGGGGAACGGGGTGAGCTCCCACTGTTAGACCCAGCTTCTGTCAACCTAGCAGTTTGAAAACATGCAAATGTGAGTAGATCAGGCATGGGCAAACTTTTTTGCCTTGGGGCCGCATTGCAGGCCGGGCCAGAAGGGTCAGGTCAGGAGGAAGGGGAGCCGTTTACATTCTGGGCAGGATGAGCCTGCGAGGGGTAGGGCCTGGGAGATAGTGCGGCCAGGAGGGGGAAGGCAGGGCCTGGGTCATCCTCAGGTTGTCTTCCCAGCATAGGAACAGGGCTGCTTGCCCCATCCTTATGATGGGAGGAAGGTGGGACACACAGAGACTACCCCAATGCATTATGCCAGGAGGAGATCAAGACAGGCGACAGCTGAGAGTGCTCCAGAGGGCTGTCAGCCACCATGTGCCTTCCTTGAGCTGTCTTCAAGGATGGAGCCATTCATCCCTTCCTTATGCCTGGAGGAGGGCAAGACACTCAGCTGAGAGTGTCCAGAAGGTTCTCAGCTGCTGCGTGCCTTCCTCCCTTGCCTTTTTGGCACAAGGATGCAGCAGGTTGCCGTGTCCTTATTCCAAAAGGACAGGGAAAATGAGAAGGGCCTGAGATGAGCACCCAGAGGGCCACATCTGGCCCCCTGGCCTTAGTTTGTCCATGTCTGGACTAGATCAATAGGTACTGCCTTGGTGGGAAGGTAACGGCGTTCCATTCAGTCATGCCGGCCACATGACCTAGGAGGTGTCTGCAAACAATGGCGGCTCTTCGGCTTAGAAATGGAGATGAGCACCACCCCCCAGAGTCGGACACAACTAGACTTAATGTCAGTGAAATCTTTACCTTCTAATAAACAGTGAAACTTTGACCTTCTAACCTTTACCTTCTGATAACTAAGAGTTATTGGACCACAATGTTTGGATTGAGTTGAATGATGTTTTTAATTCGGTGGACTATCTTTTATATGTATTTTATAACTTATCTATTATGTATGTTGTTTTAAAATGTTATTTATTGTGTAGCATTGAATTTTTGCTGTTGTTAGCTGTTCTGAGTCCCTCCATGGAAGTAGAGAAAAACAGGATATAAAAGTTCTTAATAAATGATAAATAATAAATAAATACCTTTACTAATAGTAACTCAGTCACTTGTTTGGGTTTAAATCCCCATTCAAAGGTCTGCAGGTTTTATTCTAATTCAAATGTATTAAATCCAAGTTGTGTTGTAGCATCTTGAAACAGTAGCCTGTCTGACTCTTTCCCATTGTAAGTCTGATTGGGACAATATGTTTGGCAAGGAAGGTTCAGGGCAGGCAAGATTTGTGTTAAAACCTCCTCTGCTAGTTATCTCCCCCTCCCATACACTCATCAGGCCTCAAATCCCTGCATGTCTTATTCTTATAACCTATATCATCTCTGACCTATGGTAATGCTGCTGAGTTGTAATCTATAGCATTTGATGGCAGTGAAGCTTCTGTAATAGATCTAAACACACATACACACACACTTGTAAATAGTTGTTTGATATAATATAACTATGTTAGGAGCCCCCGATGGCGCAATGGGTTGAACCCATTGTGCTGGCAAGACTGCTGACTTAAAGGCTGGCGGTTTGAATCCGGGGAGCAGAGTGAGCTCCCATCTGTCAGCTCCAGTTTTCCATGCAGGGGTATGAGAGAAGCCTTCTACAGGATGGTAAAACATCTGGGTATCCCCTGGGCAACATCCTTGCAGATGGCCAATTTTCTCACACCAGAAGCAACTTGCAGTTTCTCAAGTCACTCCTGACGGGAACAAAAATATGTTACTATGTTGTATTTTCCTTTATGTCAGCCTCTTAACTATGGTGCTCCTTTTACTCAAAACACTACAGGAAATCATATGAGTTTGAAGACTTGTTGCAGTCATCCTCCGAGAATGGTCGGGTGGACTGGTATGCTCAGACCAAACTGGCTTTAACACGCACTTTATCAGAAGAAAATGTCTATGAAGATATTCTAGGTAGGCCTTTGAGAGCTAGAAGTGGATTGCTTGGAACACATTAATGAAAATTTGTGGACATATACAGTATGTGCGTTTGATTCTGAATTTTTATAATTTGGTGTTAAATCCATTATGAGGCATCTGTGAATTAATACAACATTCAGTTCTATTGGGGTGGGCAACATGTAATGCTCTAGATGTTGGGCTCCATCTTCCATCATACTTGGCTATTGATCATGCTCATTGAGGGCCTGAGAGTTCAATAATATTAGACCACAAGTAGGCCATCCCTGTATTAGGAGCATGGGATGTGATAATGGAAACAAACTTTTGGTATGTGTGCAGTGGATCTTCTATGTCCTCAAAATCACCCTGCTAGCAGAAATAATTTAAAGTACATCACAATAGCCTGGGTCGCACGACTGTGCCCCCAGTATTGATGCTCACAGGGAGATTTTGACTCTGCAATTTTGACTCTGCAAAGTAAAGATGGAATTTGCTTTCAAAACAAGGTACACAGGGTGTTCAAACTTTGTTTTCACAAGGAGTAGACCTTCCAGAAAACAATTCACTGCCTTCATTGAGATGGGAGCAACAGAAGGAGATATACCTCAACCTCATCTTGAAGCTTTCATCCCTCCATAACAAGAGTGTTTCTCAACCTGTGGGTCCCCAGATGTTTTGGCCTTCAACTCCCAGAAATCCTAACAGCTGGTAAACTGGCAGAGATTTATGGGAGTTGTAGGCCAAAACACCTGGGGACCCACAGGTTGAGAACCACTGGTCTACATCCAACAAAATAAGGAGAAGATGAATCCAATAAATACTAGAAGGAGTAGAAGAAGGCATGCTAGGAGTTTGAAAACTGCATGTATATGTACATCCAAGAAAAACATTAACTTGCATGTTTATGCTACTCACTAATTGCAGACTGATCTAAAAATGGTTCCCCAGATCTCAGCAAGACTACTTTTACTGAGAAGATAGTGGGTTTTGAATTAGTTGTTAATATTGACCTTGTATTAAAGTTATTGGTCATGGTACAATTTTGCAATAGGTGTGAAAATGAATAGTGTTCAATATTCTTGATAGTTTTTTGGCTTGAGGCCATAGTATACTGAAGAATGAATCTTCAATACTTCAGGGCATGACACATAACTTCAATACACCTCTGCCTACCGTATATACTCAAGTATCAGCCGAGCTTGTCAGCCCCACTTCAGTTTATACTCGAGTCAAAGTTATTTATTATTTTACTCTGTTGTTATTTTACTGACACAAAAATACAGTATGTCGTAGCAAACGAGATATATATGAGGGATTTCGTATCACAAAATCACAAGTTGGACACTTCCCAAGCATCTAGGACTGTGTTATGTATGTATGTATGTATGTATGTATGCATGATTATTATTATTACATTTATTATTTTACTCTAATTATTATTATTATTACATTTATTATTTTATTCTATTATCACTGTTATTACATTTATATTATTTTACTCTGTTATTATTATTATTATTATTATTATTTTATTACATTTATTTTACTCTCGTCATTATTATTGGAAGAATACATAAGCACATTTAACATTGAAAAAGATTAGAACAATGGGTTAATCAGAGTTGGATAGTGTTAGCTTAAATTACAGTATTATGCAAATATTCAAAACATTTAACCTACCAATGCCTCAGTTAATGTAATTTTATTAGTATCTATTTTTATTTTGAAATTTACTAGTTGCTGCTGCATTTCCCACTCTCGGCTTATACTTGAGTCAATACGTTTTCCCAGGTTTATTGTGGTAAAATTAGGTGCCTTGGTCTATATTCGGGTCGGCTTATACTCGAGTATATATGGACTTCAAGATGCTTCCTTAACTCTGTTTGGAATAGTCCACTTCTCTCTTTTTCCTTCTGTTCAACTTTTCTCTTCTTCTTTCCTCATGCAAGCCACTCAGGATGTCTGCATTAGCTGCTGACATTCAGGTAAAACAATGTTATCACCCTCCAGCCATTTTAAACATCACAACTTCCATCATCCCCAGTTATGGTCCCAACCCATCTGGAGGTGTGGTTGGAAGAGGATGTAATTCTACATCAGCAGTTTCTAGGTTCTGAGGATATCGAAAGATTCACATGTTTATGTGTTGATTTATCTGTTGTCTTTGGCTTTCTATTTTAGATCCTCCAGCAAAAGAGAATCCCTATGAGGATATTGAGACAAACAGTCGTTGCTTGGGGAAAAAATGTGTTCTGAACTTTCCAGCATCTCCTTCGTCCTCAGTCCCTGGCACACCCACAAAGGTATCCTGGTCTAACCAGTGTGACTTGAGCGTTCAGTGCCCCAAAGTTATGTGTTTTGGCTGTGTTGCGAAGTTTAATGTGGTGGGAAAGCTGATGCCCTGCAGGGAAGAAAACGGCTGGTTCCCTCTCTGATGTGGTTTCCCATCTTGGATTAACTCTCTGATGGAGTTAATTTCCTGCCTACCCTATTCAGTGATTTTTAAAGGATAAACTCTTAAGTCTGCTGAATCCTGCTGGGTTAGGAATGATGGTTTCTTGCTGTGGGTTTTCACTTGCAGCTTCTGGCAGTCCATAGCCAAAACCTGGGGAACTCTGTATGGCCATAAAGCAGGCTGCTTTTTGTGGGTCTGGCTAGAAATTCAAAGGTTACAGGGACCTTTCTAGCTATTGGCTAGTCGGTTTCTTTTGACTAACTTTGCCCTGGGATTCATTTGAAATATTTCTAGACTTTGTCTTGCAACTTTCTTACTGAAACGTTTGCAGTATTTCTGCTTTGCTTTTCATTTTCCATTTTGTTTAATTGTAAATCAATGTCTGTATCTACAAAGGACAATTTCTGACTGTACTTTGCAAGTCTGACCCTCTCAAACTGCAAAGTAAGGGGGTTGCCTTAGGCAGCAGATGTTGGGATGAGTAAGGGCAGCCCCCTTCCTCCTAAAGTCCACAGCTGTTGCCCTCCATTTGAGGATAGACTTATGCATGCCATACAGTCTGTCCAGGAGCCCCCCAAATAGTAGCGTGCATAGCATCTTTCTATTGCAAAGGTTGAAGTAAGATGTCTGTCCAGTCAACTTTTAAGTATAGAATGAGAAGGAAAATGTTGTAGTTCAGCCCATGTTTGTGCCTGCTCCTAATGTCAATAAAGAAGTGGATCATGGGATTTCTGAACCTGCAAGCCAGCGTGAGATTTTAAGTCCTGAAACGGGGCAGTCTGTGTCTCTAGCAGCTAGTGAAGGCCACATTCCAGAGAGGGGCCCGGAAGCAAGGTCAGACTGAAATGAGTTCAGAGGATGAAATCCCAGGTGGCGAGTATAATGAGCTTTTAGATTGGAGACATGGTTTTCATAAATGTGCGGCTCAACAGCATCTTTGATGGTCACAGCACTTGCTACAGAAAAAGCTGTTATCAGACAGCCAGGGAAAATGGCATGATTTCATGTCTTTATTAGAGAGACCAGGGGAATTTTCCAGCCAGTCTGGCCAACATTGGTAATAACTCTTGCCTAGTCTTAGCTAAGCCTGCTAAGGGAATTCTAGTTCATGTCTCCATCCGTCCATCTTTCCTGCTTTCAAGTTTGAAGGATTATTCCTGGATTTTAGTATTGGATTGTTGGTTGCCTTGTATTTCCTGGTTCTTTTGTATTCCTGTGCTGGATGCCCTGATATTATGGATTTTTGAAACTACTCTTGTACCTTGAATCTTGTAGACTATTTCATACATTAGGACTTTGATGCTTTTTTATTATTTTTGCTGAACAGTCTTTATATAAACCTCAATAAACTGCTTGCTGTTTCAACTTAGACTGGAGTGTGGTGGTTAAGAACAGAGGTGCTTCCTTCTCTGGAGTGCAACAGGAACATCATTTTGCTATTCACCTTAGTCATCTACCTCTGGCCCTGGTTACAATTCAATTTTATGAATGAATCATAATAGAAAAGAAATATGAGAAAGATACAAATTTATCTGTTGGGGGAGGGGGGCTGCCTGCCCTCAACATTTAGGTTTTGTGTACTCCGGGAGTTATATTTTTGCAAATGCTTCATTGTTACTTGAGTTGTGTATGTGACGCTTGGGTAGGATGCCTTAGTATCCAAAGTGTTAAGTTGATATAGGCTACATTTGTCATAATCCATGTGTTTTTGCTCTAAAATTTCCAGGAGCCCTAGTCAACATGGGCAATGTTGAGGGATTATAGGAGTTGAAAAGTTAAACATCTGGATGGCTACAATTGTCCACGCAGATTAAGTTAGTGAACATAGTTTGGGACACATACTAATTCCTACCTGTTACTTGAATGATACAGAAGAATTGGTTGGCAATGCTTACATTACATCTGGCAAGAGATTCAATTGCAGTTTTCCATCACTATCCTGAAAAATGGATACGGTATTCTGCTTTTTGCTGGCAAGTGTTGTCTTTTTTCTTGGTGCCAGTTGTGAAGCAAGAATGTGACTTGTGTGGGGAAATGTCCCTTAGTTGAATGTCATGGCTATTAGCAACTCTACTCTACACCCTCAACATGCAGGTGTCGATAGAGTGAGATTATCAGATGGGAGCTTTGCTACATTTATTCAGAACTGAATTGTACTAGATCAGGCATGGGAAAACTTCAGTCCTTCAGGTGTTTTGGACTTCAACTCCCACAATTCCTGGGCTCAGGCCCTTTCCTTTCCCCCCTGAGCCGCTTAGTAGAGAAAGATATATCTTTCTCTACTATAGTCTCAGTGACAATGTATTAGGAAATAGGTGCCCTTGTGCACTGTGAATGTATCTGAGAGTACAGCTTATATAGAGAAAACATTTCTATTTGCATTCTGGGTGTGCAGAAAAGAGAGAAAAAGAAATGGAGCTGAAATGAGTAAGGGAAACAGGATGCCTCATAATTTGGACTTTTTTTTTTTTTGCCTGATTGCCTCCTCCTGGTCATAGGTAAACTTTCTTTTAATGCAGTGGAAAGTGTTCTTTTTATTCCACAAAGTCAGAAAATATGAGATGAGGGGTGCCTTTCTCTTCAGAGTTTAGGGATTTTAAAAATGAGAAGACATTTTTTTAGTAGCTACAGAGTGCCTAGCACACTAGTCCTATTTCAGCATTCCCAAGGCTACAGGGTAAAGATTTGATGGCCAGAGCCAAACCTAGAACTTGAACCAATAGACCTGTGAACCATAGCCAGACCATTCTGTGGTTCTACTGGATAGATGCAATCACAAAATAACAGGGTTTAGAAGAGGGAGGTCCATTAATTTGCGACTGAGGGATGTCTAAACATGTCTCTGTAGCCACTAGAAATGACCACCAGTTGACAGACTATTGGACCATATAGCTTTTAGTCAGATGTGGTGCAACAGCTCTTTCATTCTCTAGTACAAATATCTGTGGCTGCTTGGTAGGTTAATTTTTGTTGGCTTGTTCTGTTTTCTATACAATCCCCAAATGTGGGTGTGCAAAGTAGAGGAAACAAAACAAGACCTCCTGGAAAATGTTGTGCGTTCTGTTATGATGTGGAAAATGAAAAGTCTCTCCTATTTGGTTTGTCCTTTGAAAACTGAAAGGACTCCTTCAGTTTATTAAGTCTGGGGTAATTGATAAGAATTCTTGTAACTCAAGTTTCCTGTAATTATGTTTCTAAGTAACTTAAGATGTTCTTTTCGTCCCTTGCTTGGGGTAGCAGTAACTCCAAGGAGGTTAATTTTCACGGGTATTGTCAGAAATATTAGATATTAACTAGATATTTTTAATTACAAAAATGCGAGTCAAACACTGAAAGGGTTGAATGGATACAATGACTCAGCAAGGCTGAAGTTCAATATAAGCAGGCGTGCCTGTTGCTTAGTAATGCCTCAGTGTGAGAGAGCTCTCGGCGTGAGAGAAGCCTCTCTGTGTGAGAGAATGCCTCAGTGGGAAAGGCCTTAGTGGTAGTAGGCCTCACTGTGTGAGAATAGGTCTTAGTGTTATTAAGAATAGGCCTTAGTGTTATTAAGCCTCACAGTGTGGGGTAAGCCTCAGTATGAGAAGGCTTCATGTGTGAAGCTCCAGTGTGAAGGTTGAACTTTGTTTGTGTTATGGAAACGTTCTTGTAAATAGTACAACCATATTATTTTGCTATAAAGAAAAACGTTCTATGGAAGAGATAACATTCGTCTGTGTGTTTTTGTTGTTTTTATCACTTTGGACTATTGGACTGCTGTGCATTTATGAGAAGGGTCTTTTGTGAATAAGCCCACTCGCCTCAACCAGGGTTATGGGCCTAGTATAACCCAGTATTTGTTGTTGTTGTTGCTGTTGTTGTTGTTTATTCATCCAGCCACTTTCAACTCTTCATGACCTCTTGGATCAGCCCACGCCAGAGCTCCCTGTCGGCTGTGACCACCCCCGGCTCCTTCAGAGTCAAGCCAGTCACTTCAAGGATACCATCCATCCATCTTGCCCTTGGTTGGCCCCTCTTCCTTTTCCCTTCCATTTTCCCCAGCATCATTGCCTTCTCTAGGCTTTCCTGTCTTCTCAATAACCCAGTATGGCCCAGTATAATTCAGTATTATTTATTTATTTATTTCTTTACTTTACTTCTATACCGCTGTTCTCAGCCCGAAGGCGACTCACAGCGGTTCACAACAAATAAGAACAGCAAAAATCCAATGCTACAGTGTAAAAACAGTAACCTAATACACAGTTAGTACACAATTACTATAATAATCATTCACTAACGTCTCATCACTAAAAACACGATCCAGATCCGTCATCCATTGTTCCATTCCTATGTCATTACCAATCATTGCACTAACTACTCGAACGCCTGCACAAACAACCAGGTCTTTACTTTTTTGCGGAATACCACCAGAGATGGTGCTAATCTAATGTCCGTGGGAAGGGCGTTCCACAGCCGGGGAGCCACCACCGAGAAGGCTCTATCTCTCGTCCCCGCCAGCCGTGCTTGTGAAGCTGGCGGGATCGAGAGCAGGGTCTCCCCGGAAGATCTCAAAGTCCTGGTGGGTTCATAGGCAGAGATGCGGTCAGATAGGTAGCCTGGGCCGGAACCGTTTAGGGCTTTAAAGGCCAACGCCAGCACTTTGAATTCAGCCCGGTAGCAGATCGGTAGCCAGTGGAGTTGGCGCAACAGGGGGGTTGTATGCTCCCTGCGTTCCGCTCCTGTTAGAATCATGGCTGCCGAGCGTTGGACTAGTTGAAGCTTCCGAGCCATCTTCAAAGTCAACCCCACGTAGAGAGCGTTGCAGTAGTCTAGGCGGGATGTAACCAGAGCATGGACTACCGTGGCCAGTACAGACCAATAGAGACCAGTAGTGACCATATTGAGGCTGAAGAAATATGGCGATGGCATTTCAAGGAAGTGGACTGTCTTTTGAAAGGTTGAATGCCAACAATTATGCCACATGGTTCTTTAAAATGAATTTTTTTCTGTTAAGAGACTATCTGTAGGAAATAGTTGAGAATCCCCCAGATAAAGAAGGAGAAAAAAAAATGATGACAAATGGAGGGGAGATCAGCATGCAAAAGCTTCTAAATTCTAATATACACCCTTTTCTGTTCTGTTCCATTACCCCAGCTGCTGTCTAAACCCATCTTCTTTCGGCAAAACTCAGAACGGCGGAGTTTCAAGTTATTAGATATACGGAAATCAAATCGAGATGGAACATGTTCCCCTTCCAAAACCAGCCCTCCTTCCACTCCTAGCAGCCCTGATGATACTTTCTTCTCTTTGAGTGACCCCCAAAATGGCAAGAGGAGGAAAAAAATTCCCAAGGTAAGCCTCAGTTTTTTAGTGCAGAGAAATAAGAAGGTTTAATGGAGCCTTCTCCCTACTACATGTGCATACAGACACAAACACAGCCACTAACGCATATATCAGGGCTTGAACTCTGTTCAGGCATGAATCTAGCTCCAAAGAAACGTATTTCCATGATCCTTATTAGTTATTCAAATGAAATGCCATCTAAGCTTTGTTTTAATCACCATCTAGGCAGGCAGAACATTCAGTCCCCCAGGCTCATATTTTTTTATTGCAGATGTATAACAAAATTAGACTGACAAAGTTTTCATTAATGAACATGATCACATTAAGAATTGGAGCCCCCAGTGTCGCAATGGGTTAAACACTTGTGCCGGCATGACTGCTGACTGAAGGATTGGCGGTTCGAATCCGGGGAGTGGGGTGAGCTCCTGTCTGTCAGCTCCAGCTTCCCATGTGGGGACATGAGAGAAGCCTCCCACAGCATGGTAATACATCTGGGCATCCCCTGGGTAATGTCCTGTCAGACGGCCAGTTATCTCACACCAGAAGCGACTTGCAGTTTCTCAAGTCATTCCTGTCATGAAAAAACAAACAAGCATTAATCATTGTAAATAATGTCCCTAAGTTTCGTCCAACTGTCACGTATGGTTTTTGCTTCACAGACAAAAATAATATATTTCTTTAATTCTAGGACACACTCCACCCCACCCCCCGGGTATAAACATGTCTAAAAATAGAGTTATTTTTTTATATAAGCTTTTTTTCTGTTGGTGGTACTAAAATTAATGTGCATCTTATAATTGATGGCATTTTCGAATCAAAGAAATACTGTAGTATTCTTAAGTCATGGAAGTTATGTGAACTACACTTTTCAAAGAAGGGCTGACAGCTATGCAAAACAAATATTTCCCTTGTGTGAACTGGTAATTTATGGCCTAAGAGTGTTTAGTTATTGTAGAATGCCCTTGATCTTCATACACAAGCATTCTAGTGGACATGGCCTCCCAGTAAAATTGTGAGAGTGTGTATGCCTTCAAGTCACCGGTCGACTTGTGATGACCTCATCAGTTTCATGGGGTTTTTTTAGGCAATAAATACTCAGAAGTAGTTTTGCCAGTTCCTTTCTCTGAAATGTAGCCCACAGCACCTGTCATTCATGAGCGGTCTCCCAACCAAGTACTGAGCAGTACTAACTCTACTTAATTTCAGATCTCATTTTTTTTAGAGTAGTGATTCTCACTCTTTGGGTCCCCAGATGTTTTGGCCTTCAGCTCCCAGAAATCTTAACAGGTGGTAAACTGGCTGGGATTTCTGGGAGTTGTAGGCCAAAACACCTGGGGACTCACAGGTTGAGAACCATTACTTAGAGTATTTAGGGTTTTTTTACACCCATACTAGCCATCCCCTGCCACGCGTTGCTGTGGCCCACTCTGGTGGTCCTGGGGGTTCTGTGTGGGAGGTTTGGCCCAATTCTATCATTGGTGGGGTTCAGAATGCTCTTTGATTGTAAGTGAACTATAAATCCCAGCAACTACAACTCCCAAATGTCAAGATTCTATTTTCCCCAAACTCCACCAGTGTTCACATTTGGGCATATTGACTATTCATGTAGAGTTTGGTCCAGATCCATCATTATTTGAGTCCACAGTGCTCTCTGGATGTAGGTGAACTACAACTCCAAAACCAAAGGACACTGTCCACCATACCCTTCCAGTATTTTCTGTTGGTCATGGGAGAACTGTGTGCCAAGTTTGGTTCAATTCCATCGTTGGTGGAGTTCAGAATGCTCTTAGATTCGATTTGGTTATTTGGGGTGCTGATTCAGAAAACTGCATTGAGTAGACCACATCAGCCCTAGTTTGTGACACAGAACATATGCCATGCAGTAGTTGCCATCTGCTTGCCCACAGAAATCCATATTTAATAAGCCTTGGCACTATAAGAGGGTTTTGCGAGATCAGTCGCTTTTGTTGCAATGGTGTAGTAATGATGACACCGTGGACCATATTTAGTTCTTGCAGATCACTGGTGGTCACAGGTTTAGAACTACTGCCTTAGAGTCATTGTAAGCTGGGTAACCACATGAACATTTGAATTCTTTGTGGGGTCTAAGAATATGGCAAAGTGGGCCACTTAGTGCAAAGGTTTTGACTAGTTGATATATATATATATATTTTTGCTGCCTGGATGAATGTTAAGTTCTATAGGAGTTTTCTCAAATGCAATATTCTGACAATCTCAACTAGAAAAAAGGCATCAAAGGTGAACAATAGAGTCTCAGAAAAATAAGTGATGTCATGAATAGGGAAGGTAATGGGAATGATCAATTTATTGGCCCAAATTATTCATGTAGGTGTCTATTTGTTTGATTTTTGATGGGAAGAAGGCACTAACTTTTTCTCTTTTATGTTAAGCAGCTAGTGTTAAAAATCAATGCTGTTTATGAGTCGCGAAGAGGAAAGAAACGAGTCAAGAGGTTGTCTCAGTCGACAGAGAGCAGCTCAGGAAGAGGTAAAAAGGAAGGATTGCTGCAGGGATTAATGTGAACTGTGAGTGTGCTATCATTAAAAAGTGTGCTGCGAATGACATTTAATGTTTCACCCATGCTCAAAATTATCCATTATTAAATACATTGAATAAATCCCTCAGTAACAATTATATCAGTTATAAAGGATGGGTGCTTGCTGCCAAAGGCAGTTCCTCTCTGCTCCACATGCAACACAGCTTCCTTCTTATAGCCTCTTCTTTCTTATCAGCTGTTCCTTCTCCATTTCTTTCAATCACTGCTGTGGCATAGAGGAGGAGAATGGGAATCTTAGCATACTAATATCCCAGACTAATATGGCTTTTTATGTCTTTGAAGTGGGACATTGAGTAAGTTATGCAGCCTGGGACCTGTAGTCCCTCTCCCAATTAAGAACTGGGTTCCAAAAGCGTTGTCTGCTGCTTAGTGATTATCATTTAGGAAACTAATATTATCTCTTTCTCTTCTTTGCTACTAGTTACAGATGAGAACAGTGAATCAGACAGTGACACTGAGGAAAAGCTGAAAGGTAAGAAATGAAGGGTGTGAAGGAATATGAAGGTAAAGTGTTTTATTCCTGGCTGAACCATTACAGCAGTGTTTCTCAACCTGGGGGTCAGGACCCCTGTGGGGGTCGCGAGGGGGTGTCAGAGGGGTCGCCAAAGACCATCAGTAAATACAGTATTTTCTGTTGATCATGAGTGTTCTGTGTGGGACGTTTGGCTCAATTCTATCATTGGTAGGGTTCAGAATGCTCTTTGATTGTAGGTGAACTATAAATCCCAGGATCTACAACTTCCAAATGTCAAAGTCTATTTTCCCCACACTCCACATTTGGGCATATTGAGTATTCATGCCAAGTTTGGTCCCGATCCGTCATTGTTTGAGTCCACAGTGCTCTCTGGATGTAGGTGAACTACAACTCCCAAACTTAAGGTCAATGCCTACCAAACCCTTTCAGTAATTTCTGTTGGCCATGGAAGTTCTGTGTGCCAAGTATGGTTCAATTCCATCATTGGTGGAGTTCAGAATGTTCTTTGATTGTGGGTGAACTATAAATCCCAGAAACTACAACTCTCAAATGACAAAATCAACCCCTCCCCAAACCCCACCAGTATTCTAATTTGGGCGTATTGGGTATTTGTGCCGAATTTGGTCCAGTGAATGAAAATACATCCTGCATATCTGATATTTACATTACAATTAATAACAGTAGCAAAATTACAGTTACGAAGTAACAACGAAAATAATTTTATGGCTGGGGGTCGCCACAGCATGAGGAACTGTGTTAAGGGGTCGCGGCATTAGGAAGGTTGAGAACCACTGCATTACAGGTTTGGGGATTTTATTTATCGTATCAGAAGTGAACTGAGGGTACAATTGTAATGTATTTAAAAACACACAAAGTTTAAAAAACTTGGCATTATCCTAAATGACCTTTGACCAGTAGCTGGCCACTTGGAGTGCCTCTGGTGTTGCTATAAGAAGATTCCCCATTGTGCATGTGGCAGGGCTCAGACTACATTGTAATAGGTGGTCTGTGGTTTGCTCTTCTCCACACTCGCATGTTATGGACTCCACTTTGTGGCCCCATTTCTTAAAGTTGGCTCTGCATCTTATGGTCCCAGAGCACAGTCTGTTCAGCACCTTCCAGGTTGCCCAGTCTTCTGTGTGCCCAGGAGATGACTGAAGGTTTCAGGTTTTAGCCTTCCACTTTTTGACTCTTGCCTGCTGAGATGTTCCTGCAAGTATCTCTGTAGTTCTTAGGAAGCTATTTCTTGATTTAAGACATTGGCATGCTGGCTGATATCTGAACAGAGGGTGGGCTTAAGATGTTATTGCCTTGGTCCTTTCATTATTGGCTGCTACTTCCCGATGGATATCAAGTGGTGCAATACCGACAGTATAATTTCTCCAGTGGTGTAGGCCGTAGACATCCTGTGATAATGTGGCATATCTCATCAAGAGCCACATCCACTGTTTTAATGTGGTTTGGGGATGAATATTCACTTGACCAGTTTTCCATACTTCTCCTACGCCCCTTGCCCCCCAACCAAGCTTTTTTGTACTTATGCAGACATTCAAATACTGTAAAATAATGTTTCTTCCCTTTGTTTTCTTTTCTTATATGAACTGATGCACTCTGTTAGCACATAGATCATTTTTATCTGTATAATCCACCTGTAATTTGTAAATATATAGCTCTTCATTCAGTTAAGATAATCGTTCTCAATATTGTTCAACAAGTTAAATTGATGGTTAAAAAAAATCATCTTCCTCTCCATATGCTAGGTACACAAATAAGTTTTTAGCTGTTTCTTGAAGGAGAAGAGAGAAGGGGCTGTTCTGATTTCTTTAGGGAGGGAGTTCCAGAGGGAAGGAATGACCACAGAGAAGGCCCCCTCTCTCATTCCCACCAACCGTGCTTGAGATGGCGGCGGGACCGAGAGGAGGGGCCCCTCCAATGATCGCAGTTTATAGGCAGGGATGTGGTTTGTCAAATAGTCTAGTTGAAGAGCCAGGTTAAAGTCATTACAGAGCCATAACATTCTCGGGATGGGGGTGGGAGGCTTGGGCTAGGTATACATTGTTGGCCTTATCACCATTAGAGGTCAGAAAAGATGCAAGTATGAATTAAACCGAATATGATAAATAGAACAAATATGATTGACTCTCTTTCTCTGCCTTCGTGTAGCTCACAGCCAGCGCCTGGTTCATGTGAAGTCTCGCCTGAAGCAAGCCCCCAAATACCAGACTTTGGAGCGGGATCTGATCGAGTACCAAGAGAGGCAGCTCTTTGAGTATTTTGTAGTGGTGTCATTGCACAAGAAGCAAGCTTGCACTCCATATGTCCCTGAAGTCACACAGCAGTTTCCTTTAAAGGTGGGGCATACCGCAGAACATCTCAGCAAGCTAATGTATTCTTGAATTGCTGAATCGGGAAACAAACATACTACAAGTTTTTTCCAGGGGAAGGTGGGGAGGTGGATTTTCTTCAGTCATCTGAGTTCTATGACAAGAGGCCACACTTTGCATTCAGGTGGTCCCAGATTTAGTCATTGACATCTCCATTTAAAACAGGCAGGGCAGATTCAGGAGCTACTTCCTACTGCCATCTCGGGACAGGTTGCAACACATTTTTTGTGTCAGAGTGGAAAATACAATTAAAACAAGCAGTAATGGGCTTTTCCCAGTTTAGCAAAAGATTTCAGGTATGTAATTTCCCACCTAATTTGGGTGGCAGGTTTTGAGGGTGCCTGGTGGATAGGTGTTGCTCACCCTTGTGGTGGAAAAGAGCAATTCCTGAGGTCCTGTTTGAAGCAAACAACATTAGATTAGATTGGGCTGGACAGCCGATCAGGACTGGGAGCCAATATATCACACCCTGAACCCCTTTGGGGCAAAATTCACCCATCCTGGCATGCTAGTATGCTTCAGATTCCCTCCCTTTCTCCTCCAAAATGATGAATTGCCCAAAAACCACAGGGAATTTTTTTAGAATTGAGAAAGAGGGATTAGGGGAGTGATGGAAGGTTTTGGGGCTGCAAAGTTTGGATCCAGGGGTTTATATGGCCTGCGGAGTAAACTATCCTTTCTCCTGGATTAGATGGAAACATTGGTTGATCTAGTTTGGTGTATTTGAATGTTCCAAGTGTTGGGAAAACTAACAATCTTGGATGCACATTGAAATGGTTCTGCAGTCTCTGTTTTCTGTGTAACCTAACTCTCTTGCCTTGCTAAGTTTTACAGCACCCTCATATAAGTAATTTGCACGGGGTTCGGGGAGCTTCTTCATTGTGGACATGCTGCAAGTCACTTAGACAGGTCTTGAATTCAGGAGACTATAAAAGAGAGATGCTTTTTGTTGATTTGGTCTTTAACTCTACTCTTAAACAGAGTGACCATTATCCGCTTATCAGTGATGTAGTTTTGCATGCCACATGGTCACTTTTAGTCCCATGGAAAAGCTAGAGAATGTTACCTTTTTGCTCTCTATTTTTGGATTGTACTTTTGATATACTACAACCAAGTTATATTGTACCTGTGTGATTCTTCACTCAGGATTTTGTGAGTAAAGATGTTTTTTATAACATCAACCAGTTGATGAGGAGTTCTTTTGTTTTCTGCCAGCTCTGAATGCGTATTCTTTTTGCACGATAAATGGGGGTGCTATGATCAATCAATAAGAAAGCTTTAACTCCAGACCGGCCCTATATCCCAGGATCTAACTCTAGGTTTTCTGCTTTGAACTAGATTATATGAGTCCCCATTGCCATAGGGCCTGTCTGGAAGAGCCCTGAAAGTATCTCTAAAATTATCATCCTTAATGGGATGATAGCATAAAGTTTACTTGCAAAGAGTTTGATGCATACTGAAGTCGGCTATATAGAAAAATTCATAAGGTTTGGTGTCGACTAGAATGGGAAAGGATATTAGTTCAGGGAAGAAATATGTGAAGGTCAGGTGAGCCAGGCAAGCAGCTTTGTTAATATCTTCCAGGCAGAAGCTTCATCTCTGTCATCGCCTCTCCTTTTATTGGGGGATGGGGTGGGGATACTTGGAGCTCCTTCACTCCCACTTAACTAATCAGAAACACTCCCATTTCTCCTTTTATTTTGCTAGCTTGAACGTTCCTTCAAATTCATGAGGGAGGCAGAAGACCAGCTTAAAGCCATTCCTCAATTTTGCTTCCCTGACGCAAAAGACTGGATCCCTGTGTGCCAATTTACCAGGCAAGATAAGCACTAGTCTTTTTCTTCCCCCTCTCCTCCAACAATGAGTTTTTCTCCCAAAAAAATGTTTAAATTTATTTATAAAACTCCTTTGTTCCTGCAACATCAATGCAACCGAAAACAACAGTAATAATGAATTTTAAAAGCATTAACATGTTAAAATGTACTTTTAGTTCTTAGCATAAACAATACATATTGAAATATGCAAACAACAAAAACAGTAACATAGAGATGAAGTTGTTTCTTTTTAGATTCTGTTGCCTTTAGGGACAAATGTGCAACATAATAGTCTTGCACAACACTCAGGTCAAAGGTCCGTATTGTTTATCATCCTGTCTCAAACAATAGCCAGAACTTACAAGTATATGTAATGGTAACTGGAAGAGTCATATAACCCCAGGTCTCAGCGGTGGCCGGGGAGCATTTGCAAAATTAAAAGGTGTGCTCCAGTTACTCCCATACCTGGGGAAGTCAGACTTGGCCACAGTAGGCCACACTCTGGTTACACCCAGAATAGACTACTGCAATACGCTCTATGTGGGGTTGCCTTTGAAGACTGTTCAGAAGCTTCAAGTGGTTCAATGGGGCGGCAGCCAGATTGCTCACCGGAGTGGCATACAGGAAGCATACAACCCTTCTGTTGCATCAGCTCCTCTAGCTGCTAGTCTGCTACTGAGCACAATTAAAAGTGTTGGCTTTAGCCTATAAAGCCCTAAATAATTGCAGCCCAGCTTACCTGTCCAAACAGATCTATCCCCTATGAACCATCTCAGAGCTTAAGATTGTCTGAGGAGGCCCTGTTCTCAGTCCTGCCTCCTTCACAAGTGCGACTGGTGGGAACGAGAGACAGGGCCTTCCCAGTGATGGCCTCTTAGATCAAGCATATTTATCTATTGCCTTTGTGAAATAGGTAAATATGGATTTGTGTGCAATGACTATTGGAATGGCCCAGACCATGACTTTGGATAATGTGGTTATCAGTGAAGGCATTGTTTAATATATTTAAATGTTAAATTGGATCTTTCCTCACTTAAGGTCAGAATATATAAGCTTAACATTTCATATGGGAAGAGACTTCTGGAAATAGAGGATGAGAGTATAACAAAGCAATGATTGATTGAGCAGTATAAGCGGAGGGGTTGGGCTCAATTCTGGTTAGCCCTGCTCCATCAGTATTTTGATGGGTCAACAACAACCCTCATGCAGTTGGACAAGAAGGCGATTAGAGACAAAATATTTGAGATGGATGCATCTGACAACTTGCGGACTAGTAAATAGCATGTTTTCACCACTTGGTATCCTCTACTAAAGAGTGACCAATATTGTCAACAATACCTTCAAGGCTTAATGTCAATAGTCCTTAGAAAAGCATTTACAGCCCAGTGCTTCCAAACAATGCTGCCAGGCTGGCTAGAGGGAAGATATAGAGGGATCCCTCGTGCCCAATGACTTTTTATTTGTGGGTTGGGGAAAAGAGAGGAGTTTATACACTTTCTGTTACATTTCCCTTTGTATAATGACCCTAGAAATAATCTTCTGGGAGCCCTTTTGAAAGAAAGGGCAGCATGGTAACAGTCAGAAGTTATCTGTGACTTGTTAGTGAAGTATTCCAAAAATATAACATTGAAGATTGCCACATTTGCAGTCACAGCCCCAAAAATCCATGCTAAATTAGTAAAGTCTACAGCAGAAACTAGAAATGGAAATGGAGATAGTTTGAGATGATACAAATCAGACATTGTTATTGTTATGTCACCGCTACTGTAATTTTAAAGACCCAGTATATGGAATACGTTTTAATGTTTATATTGGAAAGTGTTCATTGATGAGCTCCCTCTGTCAGCTTTGGTTCCCCATGGGGGGACATGAGAGAAGCCTCCCACAAGGATGGTAAAACATCAAAACATCTGGGCATCCCCTGGGCAACGTCCTTGCAGACAGCCTATTCTCTCAGACCAGAAGCGATTAGAAGTCACAACACACAACACACAAAAAACCACCCTGGGGCCAGTCAGTTAACCTATAGCCTGACCTACATCACAAGGCTATTGTGAAGATAAGATTGAGGTGGAAGAAGGACCATGTTCACTGTCCTGAGTCTCTTACAAGAAAAGTGGGACATAATGTGAGGTCAATGGAAATCAATGGAAATTCCTGCATGCCTTAAATAGAATGAAAAAAATACCTTAATACTGTTGTTTTGGGTTTCTTTTTCGCATGCTACCACGCCTGTTCTTCTTGTGAATATTAAGAGGCAGTTAAATTACCCAGACTTCTGTTTAGCAAGGGTGCAATGAATAATAACAATTAAAATAATACATTTTTATTTGTTATGGTTGCCAGTTGGGTTCTGGCTGATAAGAGTAGATGTCTCCCAAAGGACCTCAGTGTCCTAATGAGCCATGGATTGTGCTGGAGAAGGTGATCCTGTAGATAACCTGGACCCAAACCATACAGGGGTCCATTTCATTCCTGTTTTGAATTCAGAGATTGAATCCAATACGATATTACATGGGAGGGTGGATAAAATAATTTTTCCACCTACAGTCCAAATTAGCACAGTTTCACGAATATCTCCCTCCCCAGTGCACACATGTATGTATTTTATTCCTTTATCTCTGTAAACAGATTTGTCACAATAGATCTTTCCCCCATCCCGTCTACCTTCAATTTTTCAGTGAGACTTTCTCCTTCGTCTTAACTAGCGAAGACGGTAGCAGAAGATTTGGATACTGCAGAAGACTACTGGTAACTATCTCTTTTTTCCATCTAAATTAAAAGCATTAAAAAGTCTAATTGCTAGGACCTTCTAAGCCGAGATAATGATTTTATGGCCCTCACTCATTGAGTGAGTGAAATGCAAAGATACAGAATGGGGGACGCCTGGCTCGACAACAGTACATGTGAAAAAGATCTTGGAGTCCTCATGGACAACAAGTTACACATGAGCCAACAATGTCATGCGGCAGCATAAAAAGTCAATGGGATTTTGACCTGCAGAAATAGGAATATAGTGACTAGATCAGGCATCCTCAAACTGTGGCCCTCCAGCTGTTTCAGCCTTCAACTCCCAGAATTCCTGACAATTGAACAAGCTTGTTAGAGCTTCTGGGAGTTGAAGGCTCAAACATCTGGACAGCCACAGTTTGAGGATGCCTGGTCTAGATCCATAGAAGTCATGCTACCTCTCTATTCTACTTTGGTCATACCACACCTGAAATACTATGTCCAAATCTGGGCACCATGATTGTAGGGAGATGTTGACAACTGGAATGTGTCCAGAGGAGGGTGACTAAAATGTTGAAGGGTCTGGAGAACAAACCCTTTGAGGAGCGACTTAAAGAACTGGGCATGTTTAGGCTGCAGATGAGAAGGCTGAGAGGAGACATGATGGCCATGTATAAATATGTGAGGGGAAGTCATAGGGAGGAGGGAGCAAGCTTGTTTTCTGCTGCCCATGTTTTGCCTGCAGAAGAGAAGGCTGAGAGGAGACATGATAGCCATGAATAATTATCTGAGGGGAAATTCCTCTCCAAAAAAACATTGCTTATGTTAATGACAACAATTTCCTCAAAACTTTCTACGCAGTACTATCCTTTGGTAAAGATAGGGTCTTATCAAAGTGGTTTTTGAACAGAAGCTAGATGACTTCATATTAGAGATGCCTTGATAATTGATTGTCCTCGAGGTCATTTAACTCCTGCAATTCTTTAGCCAAATCTATCTGATTTTTTAAAAGCCTTACATGGATTAGGCCTGTACAGTGTAGCTCTTTGTATATGTTAGACCAGGGGTCCTCAAACTAAGGCCCGGAGGCCGGATGCGGCCCTCCAAGGTCATTTACCCGGCCCTCGCTCTGGGTCAACCTAAGTCTGAAATGACTTGAAAGCACACAACACCAACAACAATCCTATCTCATCAGCCAAAAGCAGGTCCACACTTACCATTGAAATACTAATAAGTTTATATTTGTTAAAATTGTTTTTCATCTTAATTATAGTATTGCTTTTAAGTGTTTTTGCACTACAAATAAGATATGTGCAGTGTGCATAGGAATTCATTCATTTTATTTTTCAAATTATAATCCGGCCCTCCAAAAGTTTGAGGGACTGTGACCTGGCCCTCTGTTGAAAAAGTTTGTGGACCCCTGTGTTAGACTATGATGCTTTTTAGAGAAAAGGAAAATATTGTTAGAAAATAAACAATGCTTTTCTCTATCCATGTAAGGTTTTTAAAGGAAATAAGTAAAATAGGCATCTCTTTATCGTAGAGTTATAAGAGACCGCAAGAACCATCCAGTCCAACCCCATTCTACCATGCAAGAACAGGCAAAACATTCCTGACAGATTGCCATCCAGCCTCTGCTTTAAAACCTTCACCATAATCTGAGGTGGCATATTCTCCTAAACATCTTATCTTAAATGTCAAATGCTTGATACCTCAGTGTCAGAAGTTACAATTTGCTCTTAATGTTTGAGAGTTTACTTATATATGTAATTAAATTAAGGAAAAATGTCTAGAACAAGCTGTTATGTATATTTATCATATACTTTTTTTATAATTACAGTTTTATGGATTTCTGCAGTTTTTCTTTCCAAGCATTAAGAATGTAGGAGACTCAAAAGTTCTTCCCTAACATTTGGAGGATATAGCAGGAGACTGTGTGCCTGTTTAGTATGCGATTGTTTCTTTGTTTTGTTAATTACTGTGTATTTCTGTGGGTCTTTTGCCTGTCTCTCTTGAAAGCCCAGTGGGAAGGGGAAACGTCTCCCTGAAGTTTACTGCATTGTGAGCCGCCTGGGATGTTTCAACCTCTTTTCTAAGGTGAGGATGGACAATGTGTGCTTTAAATAGTGAATTATTTCATCCACCCTCCCATGTGCTATTGTTTCCAATTCAAATCATTATTATTAAGTGGAGAACTGGTGAGGGAGGGGCAGGAGGAGGAAATACAAGAAACATGCATTTCTTTTGGCAGAGTTTGGAATAGTTTCATTTTTGTCTAGTTTCATTTTGGAATAGTTTCATTTTTGACTACAGGACCAGGCTATGGCACAGCTAGCTGGGAGCTAGCTGCATTCAATCACTACTGACCGAGAGGTCATGAGTTCAATGCCAGCCTGGGTCAGAATGAGCTTCCGGCCATTAGTCTAGCTTGCTGTCGACCTATTCAGCCTGAAAGACAGTTGCATCTGTCAAGTAGGAAATTTAGATACCGCTTTATGCGGGAAGGCTAATTTAACTAATTTACAATGCTATAAAACCTTCCAGCAGCGTGCAGAAGAATGAGGAAGTACTCCATCAAAGGACTCGGTGTCACAATGGATGGTGAAGTGGCAGCTCCCCCATGTGGCTGGAATCCAGCATACCCTAATGAATCTGGAAAAGCTTGGGCACAGCTGGAATGTTAAATTGCCTCTGTGTCTGTCTATATATATTATATGTCTAACTAGCATTGAATGTTTGCCATGTCTATATGCATTGTAATCCACTCTGTGTCCCTTACAGGGTGAGAAGGGCGGAATATAAATACTATTAATAAATAATAAATAAGGTTCTGAGGATACTCTGGTCAGCATGGTGAATGGGATTCTAGGACTTGTAGTGTCAAAAGTAACCTTTTTCAACCACTTTTCACTTTTACTTTTTTGTTTTTCTCCCTTATTAAAGATCTTAGATGAAGTTGAGAAAAGGCGTGGGATTTCCCCGGCCTTGGTACAGCCCCTTATGAGGAGTGTCATGGAGGCTCCATTTCCAGCTCTGGGTCGGACCATCACCATCAAAAACTTTCTACCTGGATCTGGGACAGAGGTAAGTTCAAAACTAGGGTCTGGGAGAGTTAAGTGTAACCTCCAAATAGTGGAGATGGTTCCTGGAAGATTTTAAGCCCTAAATTTCATCTCAGGCAGACCAAATCATCTGAATCATTTTTCTTATTCTTTCAGATAATTGAGTTGCGTCGACCACTTGATTCAAGGCTGGAACATGTGGATTTTGAGTCCTTGTTCTCTTCGCTCAGCATCCGGCACTTGAGCAGAGTCTTTGCTTCCTTGCTGTTGGAAAGAAGAGTGATACTCATAGCAGACAAGCTCAGGTACCTATTTTTGCTGCTCATTCCTCACCTTCTTCAGAAAATCATTATCCTTAAGAGATCCAGTATGGCATATTGCTTTGAGATTAGTTTAGCCCTCAATCTTCAAGTGTTTTGAACCAAGTTGAAGACATGGCTCTTCAAACAGACCTTTGACCTCGTTTAGGAATTGATTATGCTGAGGACTTAGTTGATTTTGGCACCTACCACTTATACACTGGTTCTGATTACAACTTGCTTTATATTTGCTCCTATTGTTGCATTTTATTGATTTTTAATGAGTGGGGGGTTTGGTTTTATGCTTTTATTACTGATGTTGTTATTGTAATGTTGTTCTGACACTTATTATATTTTGCATGTTGCATCTTGAGCGTTTTTGTGAGCCCCCCTGCATCCCTTCAGGGAGATGGTGGTGGAGTACAAATAAAGTTATATTATTTTATTATATCACTACCTCTGAGGATGCTTGCCATAGATGCAAGCGAAACTTCAGGAGAGAATGCCTCTAGACCATGGCCATATAGCCCAAAAAAACCTACAACAACCCATTTTATTATATTATTTGATTGTTGGACTAGAACTCTGGGTGACTTTGGGCAAGGTATCATAGAGTTGGAAGAGACATTGTGGGCAATCTAGACCAACCCCCTGCCAAGAAGAAGGAAAATTGCATTCTCTGAGCCTTAAAGGAGAACCATGGCAAACATGTGAATAAATCCTGCCTCTGTGTGTGTGTGTGTGTGTGTGTGAGTGAGAGAGAGAGAGAACAAAAACAACTATGTCAAAAACAACTTAAAAGCATAACACAAAATGCATCTTTTCCTAGCATTTATCCTGCTTCAACATTCAGAAATGTTCCAAATATTACAATAGTGGGGATGTCCATTTTTGAAATATAACATGGAAAAATTAAGTTGCGAAATAGTACCTTTAGAACGTAAGATATCAAGTCAATGGAATTGAGTGAATGATGTCAAATCTTTTTTGTATTGGCTTTCTAGCACCAAAACCAAGCTTTGTTTATGTTTCTGGATGAAAATGCGGTTTCAATATCCCTCTTCCCTGCCTTGCACAAGTTTACTTTTTTGGAAAATGGTATAATACAGTAGATAACACAGTAGATAACATTAATTATTGAAAATTACTACAATTAATGTATTTGGAGAGTGTTTTTCCCAGTTTTGTAATCTGTATGCCTCATCCCTTTACTGCAGTCCATAATCCTGCATGGGTATGCAGAAAAGTAGCCAGATCTTCTTGTTTATGTATGTGTGTGTTTATGTGTGTACATATAAAGGTCCTCTAGTGGCACAGCGGATTAAACTGCTGAGCTGCTGAACTTGCTGGTTAAATGTTGGCAGTTCGAATCCTTGGTATGGGGTGAGCTCCCAGTGTTAGGCCCAGCTTCTGCCTACCTAGCAGTTCAAAAACATTCAAATGTGAGTAGATCAATAGGTACCGCTTCTCCATGCAGTCATGCTGGCCACATGACTGCATGTCTATGGACAATGGCGGCTCTTTGGCTTAGAAGTGGAGATGAGCATCACCCCCCAGAGTCGACAGTGAGAATTCAAACATGGCCTAATCTGTCTTGTCTTATTTTCAGTGGTGTTATGGTGCAACCATGGGAAGTCTGTTGGTTGGCGTTAAGTAAGCACAGTGCAGTTCACTCTTTCTTTTTATCTGGATTTCATTTCCAATAGAGTAGCTATGTGCGTTGGCTGACTATGTTATTGTCATGGAAAGAATCAATTTACCTTTACCTTTATACATATACAGAATTATACAAATATATGCAGAATTGTTTATATTTTAATATATAAAAATAATTGGTGGCAAGATATCAAAAGGGTTACGTGATCTCGTTTCATAGAGATAGCATCCACAGTATGCTGAAAGGTAATCTTTCTGGATTCTGTTGCATAATGGCAAAAGCATGTTTCTGTTGTTCTTTCAGTGGCAATGTGAAAATGGGCTTGGTTTTGCTGCCTTTAAGTAGTTTAAACGATTTAAGGAAGTGTTGTTGAAGGCATTCATGGCTGGAATCACTGAGTTGCTTATTTATTTATTTCAGATATTTTTACCCTGCCCTTCTCAAACCCCTGGGATATAGTATTCTGGGATATAGTTTTGACATATTATATTGATATTATGGGATATAGTTTTCTGGACTGTGCGGCCATGTTCCAAAAGCATTCTCAACCACATCTATGGCAGGCATCCTCAGAGGTTGTGAGGACTTAAAGAAGGATTAGACGAACTGACAGAAGTTTGGTCTATTGGTAGCAATTTGCTATTTCCCATTAGTGCAAATAGAACCAAGTGTCTCTGGCACAATATCTCAAGAGTACCAGAGTCTGGGAATATAAACAGGAAATGGTCATCCCTTTCATGGCTTGTTTGTGAGCTTTCTGACACATCTGGCTGCCGGACACAACTAAAGGCAAGCTGATGATCTCAATAGACATTGGACTGATGGAGGAATGCAGTTTCTAAGATTCTTACCCATTGGGCTAGAGTGGTTCTCATCCTGGGGTCCCCAGATGTTTTTGGCCTACAACTCCCAGAAATCCCCGCCAGTTTAGCAGCTGTTAGGATTTTTGGGAGTTGAAGGCCAAAAACATCTGGGGACCCCAGGTTGAGAACCACTAGATGGTCCTTAGTATAGGATTATGACTGATTCAACAATACTCTTCCCCACCTACACCTTATGGAGGAAAAGGGGCCCGGATCTCTTTAAGATTTTCTGCAGCTGGTGCCTGGCACGCAGCCATTTCTTAAACACTTGAGGCTGGAGAGTGTGGAGTTCTCTTTTTAAGCCAGCAAATGCAAAACTTCACAGATGAGTAATGATGCTTATGAGCACAAGATCAAGTTTCAGCAGCCTGTCTGTTTTCATAATTCCCAGTAAGTCCCTCTGCAAGAGACTGAGAGAAGGAAAGGCAAAGGTGTAGAGGTCTCTATTGCAAAAGGAGCCAAAAATCTATTCATCCATGGGTTATACTTTTAAGGTGGATAAGAACACCATTCGGGAAAGTTATGAGAAAGACCAGTGAGTGATAGAATATATCTCTTGAGTCAAAGGAGTCCCAAGAATCGGATTTAAACATTAGGAAAAAATCATGAATTCAAAGAACATACTTCCTGCATGTGGGTTAGTTAATGTCCATCATATATGATCGCTTCTTACTTTCTCTTTCCTATCTGCTATGTTTTTCCCCTTATAATTTAGAAACTCTGGAGTTAGAATATATATTTTATGTCATTTCTCACTTTTGGTAGCAGTACGCGTGAAAAAGATCTTGGAGTCCTCATGGACAACAAGTTAAACATGAGCCAACAATGTGATGCAGCAGCTTAAAAAGCCAATGGGGTTTTGGCCTGCATAAATAGGAGTATGGTGTCTAGATCCATGGAAGTCATACTACCCCTCTACTCTACCTTGGTCAGACCACACCAGGAATACTGTCTCCAATTCTGGGCACTGCAATTGAAGGGAGATGTTGACAAGCTGGAATGTGTCCAGAGGAGGGCGACTAAAATGATCAAGGGTCCGGAGAACAAGCCCTATGAGGAGCAGCTTAAAGAACTGGGGACGTTTAGCCTGCAGATGAGAAGGCTGAGAGAGACATGATGGCCATGCATAAATATGTGAGCAGAAGTCATAGGGAGGAGGGAGCAAGCTTGTTTTCTGCTGCCCTTGAGACTAGGACATGGAGCAATGACGTCAAATGACAGGAAAGAAGATTCCACCTGAACATGAGGAAGAACTTCCTAACTGTGAGAGCTGTTCAGCAGTGGAACTCTCTGCCCTGGAGTGTGGTGGAGGTTCCTTCTTTGGAGGCTTCTAAACAGAGGCTGGATGGCCATCTGTCGGGGGTGTTTTGAATGCGATTTTCCTGCTGCTTGTCAGGGGGTTGGACTGAATGGCCTACAAGGCCTCTTCCAATTCTATGATTCTATAGTGACTGGAATTTTTGAAGTATGGTCTCCAAAGTCATAGTCCAATGCTCAAGCCATGACACCATGCTGGCTGTCTGGAATATATTGTATAAATCCCTTGATCTTGAATAACATGGGTACATAACTCAATACACCTATCAGGTCAATGAGTGACCATCACTCTTACAAACACTGAAAAACTCAGTGGAAAGGACTTAAAAAGCCAAAAAACAAAAAATACATTACAACACATGTGCAAAACCATATATATATATATATATATATATATATATATATATATATATATGCACAAACACACATATATACACATAAACACTAACATACACACACAAAAAAACACATATATACAGACTGGGCCACAGCAACATGTGGCAGGGGGTGGCTAGTTATGTATAAATGACTGCACTACCGCTGAATGCCTGAGAAAGTCAAAAGATGTTTGCCCAGTTGAGATGAAAATGGAAATGACATTATTTTCAACCTGCTTGGGGCCCAAAGCAGGGTGCCACAATTAGGAAGGTCTTGCTGTGGTCACCGCCTGTTTTTGCTTCTAGCAGCTGAAGTACCTGGAGCACGACCTTTGGTGAAGATGTTTCAAGTCTAGGTTGATTTATGTGGGAAGGAAATATTCCTTTAATGCCCAGGACCCAAACTATTTAAGATGTGTTGAACATTTAAAGTAGGCTGAGAGCCAGTGCAGATGTTCAAAACTGCTGAGAGATGATCTGTTGTTCTCCCTTATTTTGCACTGGCTATAATTTCCAAACAGCCTTCAAATGAAGTCTGCATTCAGAGGGTTGCTACAGTCCAGTGGTTCCCAACCTGTGAGTCCCCAGGTGTTTTGGCCTACAACTCCCAAAAATCCCAGCCAGTTTACCAGCTGTTGGGAATTCTGGGGGTTGAAGACCAAAACATCTGGGGACCCACAGGTTGAGAACCACTGCTGTAGTCTAAAAGAGGTGTTATCAGAACACTGATAGCCCTAGCTGATTTGTGTCTGGTAAGAAGGTACAGGACCACAATTGCAGGAGAAATTCTAG